TTAGAACTAGATGAGTCTCTCACAGTAACAGGATTTTACTCTTTGAAGCAACTTAGAACTTATGTGCTTTCATGCCCTCTGCGACTCTGAAATTCGGATGGCTCTCTGCTTTCGTGTACGGGGGGGGGGGCAAAAAAACACACTTCGACCGAGTCACATATCAGCAAAGTTTTCGCAGCCCAGACAGAAGATACGAGTACCAGGGCGGAAGATACCCAAGATGTTCCTCGATAAGCAGGAGCTGGCTCTCGCCCATCACCTTCATGTACACCAAAATATGAAGTCATCTCCAGTCGCAGCCTGACTGGAGAAGACCTTTGGAATTCATGTCACCTCCAAACAGCTGCGAAACTTCTATGTGGAGTCACCCATGGGTAGCTACCTGGAGACCAGTACTCTCGATCCTCTCGATCTGGAAGACCTCCAACATCGAGCAGCTCCGACAACGTCGCTACGGTCCAGGATATCATCTTCACCGCAGTCGCCAAGGCGCGGGTTGATGGTATGGACCGGAAGTTCCTGGAATGGGAAGACCGATATTTTCTTCGGACCCCGGACTGAAAGTGAACGCTGACGGTTACATCGACCAACTCGTGGAGAATATCCTGCCTTCATGTCATCGCCTGTACCTTCTTGGAAACTTCGTACTGCTACAGGATTGGGTGCCACACATGGAATCGAAGGGCGTTGGAAAAACTCTCGCCTACTTGGAATGGAAGGGCGTTGAGTACCTGAAGAAGATGGAATATCAAGTAGGTCACCTGACCTGAATCCCCTCAATTACCCGGTTCGGGCGGAGTTCAATAGGGTGGTCTACGGTGGCGGAGAAATCGACTATCTCGCTGATCTCAGGCACCACATCACGGTCGCGTGGCAGAATCTCTCGATGGCGCTCGTCCAGAAGGCTGTGGCGGAGTATCATGATAGTATACAATATGCTCTTGAATATGGTGGTGGAAATGTCCAATCAGAATTAAATAAAGTGTAACTTATAGCGCCTTGAAACTCTAGGAAAAAAAGCGTCTTTTTTGGCTCCCCTTGCAAAGCTCCATCTTCGACAGAAGTCCCCATCAAGAGTTTGCCACAGTAATTCCACTCCTTGCCACTCCATATCACCAGCTCTCTCAAAAAAGCCACCAGTAGTACTTGCTGTGCCGTCGAATTTTTCCAGTGTTTGCTGGGTCCTTTCACTTCTGTCGTCAGCTCACACATACAAGGAGGATGAAGATTTCGTAAGGAATTCGGCACTTCTTCAGCCCTTCCTGGCACTCTCAGAAACACGCGGGTCAGGGTCATGGAGCGCTTTCTCGAAATGATCAGGACCACAAACGTAAGGGGGGGTTCCTAAGTGTTCCTCCTCTGCGCGTCTCTGGGAATGCCGGAAAGGGCTAAAATGTTCTAGAAGTAGTTGACTTTCTGAGTGTGAGGTGTGACCACGTTCCGATTCGGGCGAAGAGGTCAGACACAAGGCGCCCTTCAATCATTCCTTTAGTTTCCAGTAGCAAATTCTACGCTAGATTCTTCCCAATCAAACTTTCAGCGGACGATAACCTTGAGAAAACGCCGCTGGGTGCCATACGCTGGCCGCAAGGAGTGGACGAGTTGCCCCACGAACACCAGTGCGCGGGAAATCGCGGTTTCCAAAATTGAGCATGCGGGTTTTGCTATCTGTTTTCGTCCTTTGGTTTCTTTCGTGTCTATGTACTGCTTCTTATGACTAATTGGCCTTTCTTTTTTGCCAAGTTTTTTTTATCAACATTGCAGTGTTGCATGCGTTCAGCAACTGGTTTCTATTAGGTTTCATATTTACTCTCGTTATTCAGCTTGCGGAGATCCGTCTAGTGAAAAAAAAAAAATGGCTCCAGCTCCTGAATTGGCTTCCAAGGATTTCATGAAAGTTCGGTCGATCAACGTATGGCGAGGTAAGGTGAATTTAATATACGAAAGAAAAAGAACCGAATTGACTTTAAAAGAATGAATTGAATTGATATTGTTTTGAATCTGATTTAAGCGTCTTTATGCTTTGTTTGTAATGGAAAGAGGAACACTGGCCCTGCTTATCGATAAAGGCTCTGTAGTCATCGTTTGTTGGACCTGTAAACTTAATAGTTAGGCCAATCGGTTCGGCCGCCGTGTGGCCACATATTTCGGGTTTCTGCTCCAGTCAAAGCAGTGTTTGGTCCAGATTCCCTAGACAGTTAAAACTACAGTGACATTAACTCCCCCAATTTCAAAAACAAGGGTTTTGGAAGCTTCTGAATCAGCGCGCTCAGCCAGGAGAACTTCTTACAGCTTTAAGAAAAAGATCTTAAGGGTCTGAACTGAAAACTCAGCAGGGATTTCTAGTACTCTGCTTTAAATAAAAATTTTATGTTTAGACAAACGTGACACCTATGTGGGCTCCCCGAAACAGCTCTTCAGTGATGTCAATGAAATATTCGCTGATAATGTCCGTGAAACTTTGAATTTTTTTCCATTTTACTAATACTACTTATCTGTTATTTGTTTTCAGAAATTGTTTGTTTCACTTCACACTTCTGAAGTTCTGCCAGGATACCTCGTTTCCGCTCGTTGCATGGTTCAGAATACTCTTGCACCAGGTGACTGATTTTCGGTTCTTGCTCGCCATGTCATATTTTAATCTTTTGCAGAATTCTTCCCCCTCAGCTGCACTGTTTCAAAAAGTTTTGGAGACGATGGAATGCTACGGGCCTGTTTAATGCCGGAGCACGTTGGTGATGATGTGACGGAATATCATTGTATCATTATATTTTTTGTATTTTAGGCTATAGCCCTCTCTTTCGTTAGTTCGTATACGCCAGCCAACTATTCTCTTCTACAATGGCGTTGCTCATATTCTTGATTTCTTTACAGCATGATTTTGACTGCGGTCTAATAATGTCCCTCTCGGGGACGTGCTACGTTTGGCTACGTAACCCCACGAAGAAGGCGATCTGCTCATTTAGCAGTAACCTACCTTCTGATTAGAGCGGTGACCGGTTCTCAAGCACCTTTACTTCTTATCCCGGCAATGGGGCGAGGCGTGGTTGTTTGCTCATTATAAAACACAGTTGTTAAGATGCGTTTCTGGAGGGATATTTCCATCTTGTCGACAACTATCTCTTGGACGTGCCGGAAGACGTGAACTAAATTGTCCTAGTACAACAATATCTCCTCAAACGCGCGGCGTTCGGATGATGTACGCCGTCACACCCACTCCATCTCCGTGATATGGGTGTATGTGACCTCCAACGTTATGGGATACCCTTTTCTCTTCACTACTGGCCTTTCTAATGAGCAAACAGGTACGAACGCAGGCCAGGTTAGATCCTTCACATGCTATAAGGTATAGGGCGGCGTCATAGCTTGCGACCATGAGAGAAAGTGAAGATGAACGTGCGGCGAAAGTGAAGAGACAAGCCAATAAGATACGTTGTCGATTTGAGAACGTGTGACAGAAATGCCAGAAAGCTGCGGAATCTGATAAGAAATGCCGAATGTGAAGAAAAGCAAATAAGATAATGCGTATCGATTCTGAAAAATTTGCCGAACAGGCAGGAAAGTCGCGAACAAGTGGGAATCTGCAGAAAAGTGCAAGAAAATCAATTTCCTATACGTACCGCACTTCTTTCTTTTACTGGCAGATTCCGCACTTTCCACCGAACTTTCCGCACATTATACTTCATAATCTATTGTCATCTCTATCTTCTTTTCTTCAGCATAGGACATCTCATGCTGCTCTAGAGCTTCCGCGCAGTTCTATTCTTTTGGCATTCTTTACTTTCTTCCATGTCGCAAGCACCTTCATGAACGCTGCCCTAAGAATGCAGCAGCCCCAGCGTGGGGTAGGCCGTTAGAGACTGCTAGACTCACTTATTGTCAGCTGTGACGTACGTTGCCCCAATGAAGCTGTTTAAGTCTAAGAAATTGTGACGGCAAAGCTCTTTCTGATAACAAATCCTCACCATTTTGCGCAGTTTTACTCGATATATATGTGTATTCTCTCTCGCTAGCCGATCTGCGACTTCCACATTGGCGACGCCTCCCCCTTAAGCAGACGAATCCGTGTCGCGCGAACGTCCTTGGGCGCGATGCCGTATTCGTGGTGTATTCTTCACGCTGCAGACCAGAAGCGCGTATGGCTGTGGTTGCTGTACTGCTGGACAGTGAGGCGTGGTTGCTGCGCCCGCACCCCGCATTGTACTCTGTCTATGATCAGGCTCATGATGGAGCAGGAAACGATCACAGCGTGATCTATTCGCTTCAGCTTCGTGCGTTTACATCACGTCGGGGTGTAGCTTGAGGGAGTAGAAGTTGATCTTACTTCTGTCACAGGGATCTGCACCTTGTACCACGAGACCCGCGAGGAGGCGGTCCACATTTGTGTTTGCCCTAAGAAGCACAAACCTCTCTCGGCTCTCTCTTCTCTCTACGTCTTCTCTCTCTCTCTCTCTCTCTCCTCTTTCTCTTTCACTCTCTCTAGGGCGATTATTCTGAGTTAAAACTTTTCCAAAGCTACGTCGACTTTTTGACTGTCTTGCTCATCTTGAGAATCTGCGATCGACCATGAAATCAACCTGTAAGCCGCCTACTGTTACAAGATACGTAATGTCGGCGGCGCAATGGGACTGGGTCCCGCTTGATGACTTCAACACAGAGCCAACACGACCTGCACTCTCGTTCTGCAGATTTGTCGGTGTAGTCAATAACAGAAATTTTGTCGACACTGAGAACAATGTCGTTATACCCAGCCGCCTGCCCTCTCGTCATTTCAGAACCGATGGAATATTCGATCTGCCACCAGTTCCTACGAAAGATAGCTGAATTCAGTTGCTAAGGGAGTTTATCCAGGACACTCACCCAAAAAGACTAGCTCTTGTTTTTTTCTCGCCATGCTTGCAGGGTTATTTGAGGTTTTTCGAGCGATTCGGAGCTCCTTGAACTGAGGTACCAATACAGTTGTCGATCATTACGGTATATTATCAGCTACCAAACACACTGCGAGTGGCTATGGGTAAGTTGTGCATTTCCTTTGTTCAGGACCTCCTATTTCCCCAACCGCTTTCCTTCTCTCTACTTTCTATAGATAGCAAAGGAATTCCAAAAAAATTAATGTTCATCTGTCGTGCGTATGGAAAAGAGGTGTGTCACGTACAATCGGCTCAGTCAGACATGTCTGCCAGTGAGTTGTTCAAGCCAGATAGCTTGTGAAGTGTGATAGTTATAAAGTAACCGTTCTTTAGTCTTACTGTTGAATTTCCTTTTGCACACTTCAGGCATTGATCCCCCTTCTATGCGTAGTGAGCTCATTAAAGAAGTTTCGTCTGTATTGGGAAGTGCAGCGGCAGCGGAGATTTTCATCAATTTCCTGGTGTCGACCACGTAAGTTTTGAACCATTGATGGTTTATCGGTTTCTTGTACAGCGGCGGAGTTCCCGCATGCTCTCAAATGCTGCGTTCATACTTGGCGTCAGCGTCCACCAGTGACTGCCAGCTTTTGAGCGTACGCCAATGTCAGCGACTGGAAAAGCATAGATAGTTATTTAGGAACGCCAGCGTTCACCAGCACCCACCACTGGGAAAGTGCGCATATCAGTAGATTGATATCGATCTAGCGAACGCCAGCGTCCAGTCCTCCGAGACGTTGGTGGACGTTGGCATTCGCTCGATCAATATCCGTCCTTTCGTAGTGGCTGTTGGGCGCTGATGGTCGCTGGTAGCCCCGGACGTTCGCTAGATCGCGGTCTATACTTTCTTAGTTGCTGGCACTATCGTACGCTCGAAACGCTGGTCGATGCTGGTGGACGCTGACGCAAAGTATGAGCACAGTCTAACGGATGTGCAGAACCATGGATCTCCACCTACTTTTGCACCAAGGCCTACATTTGTCTCACTTAAAAGCCCTTTCAAAATTGTCTTGCTATGATTCTTTCCACAGTTGACGAAAGTTTGTTATCTTAATATTTCTGCTTTAAGGTATTCTCGTCCCGGTGGAACACCGTTGTGTTTTTTACCTTTGAACATTGTCGGTGTTACTGATCCTGAAATAGCTCATCAAATAATTGAAATGGTGCAACACTTGATGCCAAAGGTGAGTTTTCATTGCGACCCATTTCAGATGGGAAGGGAGGCTCTACTGACAGTCCGAATACAGTACGGACAGTTCCCTTGTTACTGCAGCGCGGTGGTTTCGGAATATTTTTAGTCCTCCTTGGCTGTTTATGTGCTTCGAGAGCGTTCATACTCTGCGAATACGGTGATTTCACGGATTCGGAGCTTGTGGGAATCTGTTCCCGTTCGTGCATTCTTCGTTTTCACGTATTTTCTACTTTGGTACCTATACGCATTCGCAAAGTATGAACGCGTCGTAGCGAATCCATCTGACCATTAATATCATGCCTTTTTTCCAACTAACCTACGTCTCCCTCTTAGGTGAAAGTGCTGACGCTCACTCCTGAACTGCTTTCAAAAACTCGTTTCGCACCGGTGAAAAACTACGAGTCCGATATCCTGCATCAAGGTGAATTGCAACTGAGCAACGGCACCGTTCTCATCATTGATGAGACTCAACTACCAACTGGTTCCTTCCCTGTCAGCGGTTTCGGTACGACTATTTTACAAGTTTTTTTCCCCTCTCAGTCATGTGATTTTCCCATTTCATAGGGGAGGTTTTGCTACCGAAGCTGTGGTCTTACAGTAAACAGTTGGACGCTTTATTTTTACAGTTGAGGAGAACCTGAAGGTGTTAGAGGAGCTGCTTGTTGAACACAGAATGTCGTATGACTACGGGTTTTACAAAATTCCTATGGACATTGATTACAATGTTTTGATACTCTCAGAAAAGGAATCAAGATTTTTCAAGGTGAGCTATGAGAACTCCCTTCTATTCAGAATAAATAAGCAGGATTCAGACTCCGTACCGCATTCCCGTAGAACCATCTTGTTCAAAGTTATCTCTGGGAAACGTGGAAAACAAACGAGAGTTTTTGCAACGAAGTCGAAATGGCGTAAGCTCTATATCAATGACGGATGACGTTTCCAAGGTGATGATCGCAGTATTTAATCTCTTATACAGTCTGTTTTCCTTATCGTGTAGATTGCAGAAAGTACAGGACAGCTTTGTGAACATGTGCGCTTCATTAGATGCAAAAGCTGATAAGGCGGCCTTGCTCAATGAGATGTTGATCTTGTCGAGGTACACAGATTTCTTCCTTTGAATGATTTGCGCTTTGTCACCGTTGTAATTCAGACTGGTTGCTTCTTCAAATGGTAGCCCAAGTGTGGAGTTTGAGCACTGGGAGCACGCAGTTCGAATCTCGTCAGCGAACTCATCTGCAATGTCAAGATGGAGATCTCAGTAGCTTCTAATGTGGAAATTATACTGCCAAGATCATAAAATTGTTTATTTTCTTTCTCCGAGAGGCTGTTGCAGAAAACACAGAACGAGATTTTACGGTATTTTCATAGAAAGAGGGCGTCCTCTATGTAAGTAGTCGTTCCTGCAAAGAAGGGCTCAAAACCCTCTATCCGTAGTCGAGATGGATGTTAAGATTGCTAGACTGACTGACTTTTGATGCACCCCTTTTGCTCAGAACATGATGTCATTATGACTGCCAGGACAATGCGCTGCGGATCGGCCATATTTCTTTTCTTCTTCTGCTTCTTTTTCTATTTCTCTTCTCTTATTTTTCTTCCCTTTAAAATCAGCATTTGTTCCGCAGTTGCAGAGTCCGCTGGTTTGATGTGATGATGCCCCTTTTTCATTAAATGCCTGGTCGGGGTTAATTTCAGCTATTTTCAAGTCTATATGCAAGGTATCGAGCCAGCGCTATGTCGCTTTCCAGCCACCTCGAGCTGAAGGCTAGTCTTACAGTCGGTCTGTCTTCCCGCGAAGTTCATCCCACTGAACACGTGTTTCTCGCATTTTTCAAGCTATAGGAGCAGGGTACAGCATGCTGATGCGTGAAATGGAGGTGTCAGCACGATCCCTCGCCTGGAAAAGGATACTGCGCAAGCGCTTGCGTGCGCGTTATGATTCCATGACTAATTAGCGAAGCAGATCTGTGGCCGGGTGGAAATCGCGTGGCTTTTCCTGAGAGTGATAGCTACCTCAGGTGTGAAGCTTTGGGAAATGGAAGGCAACATATTTTGAAGCAATGCCTCTACTGTTACGTTTTCTACCTACTCAAAGTCTGAACCATACCCCCCCCCCTTCGTGAAATAATTCGGATGGGTTACGGATAGTGATACATCGCGAGCGCGTTTTCTATGCTTTCTTACCTTCTTTCAAACGCAATCTTTTCAGAACCGGAAGCGCCATCAGAAAGCCAAACGTTTCCTCCTTCCAACAATCTCTACAGTTTTCCGACCCACTAGTTCAACAGGTATTTTAGATGGGTCACCCTTGGACGACAATTTGAGCCACTCAAAAGCCCGACTCCTCCAGAGCCGTTGTAAGGATACTCATTCGCGAATTTGAATATGCCTTCAAAAGACAGTCTCGCTGAACTGAATCAAAGCATAACTTCGATCCAATCTGAGCGCGCGCCGTGCATACGCTTCTATCGCGCAGAGGTGTAGAAACTTCTGGTTATGGGTGATTTTTGTCCATGCGAGCAGATGTGTGTTGGGGTTTGGGAAGGTCGATACAAACGAACCCGTTTGAGATGTATTATGTAGTCATCTATGTACTTACGAGTTCATGCTGACTATTGATATTGCTGATCAATTGC